CATAATCTTACCTTCCTTTCTTCCATCTTTACAAAAATGGAACAAAATGCAAAATTAGTTTACATATCAATACTTTATCTTCTCTTTCTCTCCCCATTAGATAATGTTAATGCAGAGAAATCCTAGCTATTTCGGCCCCTATTCGGTTTCCCGTATCAAATCCTTCCTCTTAACGCATGAGCTAAATAGTACGGCGTGAGAAAAAATGAAACCGAGCAGAAATCGAACGAACCTTCCTACGAAGTTATCGCCTGATGAACTGCTGTTGCAGAGACTCAAACAACTGAAGTATTGTCGTTGTTTCTGCCGCGTTGCATTTGCTTTTGTACTGCTTTGACTGCAGCTACTCTAGCTGCATTGGCTGCTCTATTTGCCGCTGCTACTGCCCGGTTCACCCTTTCGTCCACTTTACCGACATCGTAGGCTTTCTGAGCTGCTCGTCTTGCTTCCTGTAGACAATGCAAATAGCAAACAATCAGAAAACCATCTCCATTGAAAGAACGATGGAAGAAAGCTGAACGACGCACAACGACTCAAAACCGTTCATGTAGCTATAAGAGGGACTTTACCTGCACTGCATTCAGTACTTTGGAATGATAGACTGCAACAGCAGATACAGGATAAGTAGAGTTTTGAGTGCTAGGAATGTCAAGAACTCCATTCTGCCAGTGACCGGATTGAGTTTCGCCATTTCTATACGTATACATTCCGAGTCCTTGACGTCTGCCTTCGTGCCATGCTCCCTCATATCGGTGTCCATTATTAGCAAATTGATATACCCCAAATCCGTGCATTTTGTCCGCAAAATATTCTCCAGCATACGTGTCCCCGTTTCTAGAAATTTTACAAAAACAATTCGAAATGAAAAGGGAAATTTTACGAAAAAGATAATACCGATGCGAAAAAGAAATGGTATCCAATCCAACAACATCAGGAAGATTATGCTCAACGAGTAAAATCTTCAATACTATTAAAAGAACTAGGATTTACAGAATAAACCAAATGAGTCAATGTAATTCAGCCAATGACCAATCTTTGGACAAACTATCTAAAAGAACAAATGCATAGATTTTAGCAAATCAAAGCCACAGCAAACCCCTCGAGGGAGTCCCACATTGGCTAATTAAGGGAATGATCGTGGGTTTATAAGTAGGGAATACATCTCCATTGACCCGAGGCATTTTGGGAAAATCAAAAACAAAACCATGAGAGCTTATGCTCAAAGTGGACAATATCATAACATTGTAGAGCGTCGTGATTCCTAACCAGCAATGCATAATTTCATAAACAGTTATGACAGAACAAAAAGAAAAACAGCAGTTTTAGCTAGAAATCTTCATAAAAACACATTTAGCTACCTGAAATGGTAATGACCAAGCCCATGTTTGACACCCCATTTGAATTCCCCGACGAATCGGCTTCCATCGTCACAAGTATGAACTCCACGTCCATGGCTCTGCCCATTGGACCATTCTCCCGCATAAACATCTCCAGTGTAAAACCTATACATCCCAAAACCATGGCGTAGCCCCAGCAGGTACTGCCCACGGTACCGGCTTCCTCTAGCCCATGTCTCAACTCCATATCCATCGTATTTCCCATCAACCCAATCTCCTTCATATCTACCACTCATATAATAGTAATAAACTCCACTGCCTGAACACTTCCCCTTATGAAACTCCCCCTCATAAACATCGCCATCGCTGTAGACCTGAACCCAACAGCCTGAATTCAATCTCTTCTCTGATTTTGATCGAGACCCAATTGACCACAAAACCGGAAGATGCGCTCTAGAATTTGAAGACGAGGAAATGAGCTTAACAGGGAAAGAGCGGGCGAGGAACAAGCGTATCGAGGGAAGCCGAGGAAGAGCGAGATTAAGAGAAAACAAAAGAGCAGCAGAGAACGCAAAAGCCGAGAGGAAATCAAGGAAAAACAAATGAGTTGGATGAGAAACTAAGAAATAGAAAAACGGAAGAGAAAACAAAAGAATCAACCGTAAATGAACACGAAGCCGACGAAGCTGCTTGAGGCGGCGGAGCAAACGGAAAGCGGCACTCCGAACAGCCAAAGAGACGGAGAAGAAGGAAGGGTTGAGGGAATTGAATTGAGGAGTGGAAGGAAGACGGTAGAGAGTTGGGGATTTAGTGAGAGACGAGTGATTATGGGTCAAGAGAGGTCTCTTATAAGGCGCATTCGAAGAAGAAGACGACGGCGATGGCGCAATTGGGTCATGATGAGAAGGAGTTTCGATTAGAATCTGAGGAGTGGTGAAAGAAAGAAAAGATCGGTGGGATTGATTATGCGACGACGACGACGACGGCGGCGGATGTTTTTGATGAATTGTGATTGAAGATGGGAAAAGAAGAGGAGGGGACGGATTGAAATCGGAAGAGACGCCGCTGCTTTCTTTTCCGATCTGAACTTCCGATTTCTTCTGATGCATTACATAAGAAGTAAACTCAATCGGAAGAAACAAACGAACAAAAACAAGAACAAGAATCAAAATCGAAAATCAAAAAAACCAAAATCAGAAAAAATCAAATTCTCCCCTGACGAAACCTTCAGTCTCTTGAACTTCAAATCCAAGACTCAAATCCTTGTTGCTCTTGTTCTTGTTCTTGCGAGAAGCTTATGGTTTGGCGTTAAAATCTTCGAATTCAGCGGAGAAAACTCGATGGTGCGGTTCTCCAAGCACCCAGATAGAGAGAGAAACGAGAGGGAATAAAGAAGGAGCGGTGTTCGCTTACAATTTATGGTACAATTCAATTTTGATCAATTCGAAACCCCAAAAAAGCAATTCTGCTAAGGAAGGCAACCTGCTCTTTTACCAAAATACCCCCCTACTTTCTTTTAAATTACTATAATACCCCCTACTTTCTTTTAAATTACTATAATACCCCTGTTTCTATGCCTTGTTATTAATTATCTGCACGGGTCTATGCCCTCGAATGGAATCATTTCTTTCATACGGGTAAAATTAATTTTTATTAATATAATTTTAACCACAAAAATTATTATTATATGATAAAATCTAATATTTAAATTTAAATAATTAATTTTTACAATCTTTTTAATTAAAAATATAATAATTAATTGTCTTGGTGTCTCTTAGCTTATTAATTAATTAATGGAATATTCCTCGAGATTATATTTTCAAGAAATTAAATTTTTGTACGTATTAAATTACACATACTTCGTAATTATTGACCCGTATTGGACCAATAATTTTATTTATTTATTTATTTGAAGTACTGCTCAAGTCTACTACTAGCAGATATTATCGACTCTGTCTCGTTACTTATAGTTATATGGCTCAAAGGTTTGAAACACGTCTACTAGAAAGAGGTTTCGGCAATCTTAGTAGTTGGAGAGGGAAACAAAGCCTTCGTTATGAGTGCGTGGAAACTTCTCCCTAACATATACGTTTTAAAACCGTGAGACTAACGACGATACGTAACGGGACAATATCTACTAGCGGTGGGCACAGGCTATTACAAATGGTATCATGGTTAGACATAGGGTGGTGTGCCAGCAACCGAAAGAGGGTGAGTATGTGCGGTCCCACCAAGGATGTGGAAATCTCTCCCTAGTAAACACAGACTGACAACGATACGTAACGAGCTAAAATGGACAATATGTTTTAGTGGTGGTCTCATACTATTAAACTATACATAATTTAACGCCAATGTTTCAATCAATTTGATCGTTTGCTTAATGTACTAAAAACATAGTCAAATTTTGTTAACGAGAAATTTATATATTATTATTTAACGAGTATATTGGTGGCATTTTTTAAATTGTTTAAATGATATTAAATTAATAAATTAATAAAATGGGGAAATTGATGCAATATATGACTAAGCTCACAATTTTGACTAAAAAATTTCAACCCTTTGAAATCTTCAAACCATTTAAATGATGTAAATGAACCAACCACTTAATTTTAATGACTTTGATATGTTTGAGAATGAAACCCATCTTAAATTTATCGAATTAATACAAATATTTATGAACTATAAAGTTGGTTTTTATTATAACCCGAACTTAAAAAAGAATAATTTTTATGTTTTACAATTTTCAGTTTTCTGTCAATTTTCTTTTTAATTAATAAATTTATCTTTGATTTTTTTTTTTTTTTTTTTTTTACAGCGAAGAATATAATGAAATTTTCTTTATGCAGAAATAATAAAAAGTCAAAGAGCATTCTAAAATACAGCTACTTTAGAACATTCAAGATTCAAATAAATCAAATACGTATAATTAGTTTTTTTTTTTTTTTAATTATTTATTCAGTCGGTTCCCAAAATTATTTCCATTCAATTTTAATATAATCAAAAGAATCAATTCTCCAAAAAGAAATTAAAAAGATTAACATATACAAATCAAATAAATCCAATTATTTATAGAAATAAACTTTTATAAAATTGAAACAAATTTAGTAAACTACTCAAAATTGAGAATTTATTTATTTATTATTATTTTTTTTTTTACAGAAATAATTTCTGTTATTTGAAATGTTTTATTATTTGCATCTTTTGAAAAATGGTCTCTGCAAAGACAAATCCAGTATGCACAAATTTCTATTAGAAGACCCAGAATTTGTATTTATTTTCTAATACCTAATATTAAACATTTGTAATATTTTTAAGCTTAATTTTCAAAAACCAAACCGATACCAATTTAGACCCGAAACGTTCTTGAAAAATAAATAACAATTTTAATTATTTCAAAACTGAACAAAAGAACCATCGAACAGGAGATTACATTCATAATTATAATCCTAAAAAGCTCCAAAGAAATAATATATGGACAATACATAAGCAATTCAACTTCATAATCAAAGAATACCTAGAAACTAATCACATTAAAAAAATCATAATCAAATCAAACCAAAAGGGAAGGCTATGGAACACATGTAAATAACTCGGAATATTCAAATATTAAGTGCAAAGAAAAAAAAAACCCTATTTTAAAAAAAATAAAAGTAAAAACCAGAATTTGAGAAGCTCAAACTTTGCTAAAACCATGAACCAAACATCTGTTAAGCAGTCTACAAGGAAGAGATGGCATTCTTATTACAACTCAGAAATGGTGGGGTAAGGGGCACAAGACTAACNGGAGTAAAAAAAAAAAAAAAAAAAAAAAACGAAGTACAAGGACTTAACAGCAAATAATTTGATTATCAACCCATAAAGAGAAATAAACTTACAAACGCCATTTTAATTCATGAAACGACAATAAGAAGAAAAGAAGACATGTTCAGCTACTATGACGACTTTGCATTTGTGAACATTTTTTCTTTAATGATGCTTTTTTGAGACTTTGAACAACTGCTTTTTACCTTGATAGTTAGGAGGACCATGAGGAGTAATAAGCACATATCAACCGCGTTGCGAAGGTATTAGAAGAGTATTGCGCCAGTCAGCGCAGAATCTGAAGATGGATGAATATCGAAGATCTCGACCCAACGTGCAGCTTAGCTTTCCAACTCAATCATGCTTTTTGTGAAGCTTGAACCCGAAAACTCTGGGAACATAGCCCTGTGTGGCTTTTTGTGGCTTCAGGTGTCCGTATGTCATCAAAAACAAGTGCGGGAATGTCGTTCCAAAATACGCTCCATCGATATCTTAGATCAAGTGAAGGAAACTAGAGGTGTGCACTAACACTTCATCAAGCAAAGCAATAACAATTGCATGAATGTTTCATAAAAGGATTGATGTAGCAAGCATTCAAATGCAAAGGTAATAAGAATAAGAGAACTTGATTCAGAGCATCAACCACCACTTGATTCCACAACCATTACTGAAATAGAGAAGCCAAAGACTAGCATGTAGTAAAAAATGGAAACACGTCCATACCCAGCCCCTTCGTAAGGGGACTTATAAATATGATCCATTTATATCTACAGCCAATTGAATATCCAAGATGACAACTCTAACTAAACAGCACATATCAAGGATCGGGACAACTTTAGAAGAAAACAACATTCAAGTGAAAGGCACTACTCCATCTGCACTTTTGATAGATTCATTACTTGTGTGCTCTTCCTAAACGCATTTTCGGTGATTACAGAATTTCCGAAGGCACTGGACACCCACCCAAAATGATTCCAAACCCACCCTTATTCTCTAAATATCAAGAAAAGCAAAACTTGCAGAGAATCTTAGACTGACTGCAGAATTACCGTCACACTCGATAAACCAAGAAACATGGCAAATGGCCATCGTTTATCTATTAATAATAAAAGCATGCCCTTCATGAGATTGTAGAACCAAACATGATCGAGCATCTTTCGTGTATGAATCAATTGAGAATGCAACGACTATAATCATGCAGCAAGGTAGGACATCCTTTGCAATGGTTCTACTGTACTACTTACGAATCATCTGAACCTTTAGACAGCTTATGTGAACAGAGACAAATATTAACTATTAACTAATGGTCTACACATCACCAACTAAAGACTATCAAGCCATGAACCAACTTTTAAAACTGCTTGAACGGTCGATCATAACAATATATCAAATTGAGACTCAATTATTTTCTTTTCAAAACATGAACTCGGCTTCTAATCACAGAAAAGAATCCTTGTGAAAAAAAAAAAAAAAACACTAGAAGAATAGTATAACCAAATATTATCTTAATTTGCAATAAGAAAAACATTAGCATTACACCAAAATTATTGAAGTTAACAAACGCTTTATGAAAAAAAAAAAAAAAAACAAAATTAAGCACGGCAAAAATCAATCTCGTTAAAAAAAAAAAAACAAGTTAGGTCAAGCTTCACTTTGAATTCAATAACAAGCATGCAGACGTGCAGCAAAGAATCAAAATAATTATATATGAGAATAAAGTTACAACAGAAAGGGAAAAAGTAGGCAGAAGGACAAGACATCATAGATTGTAAAAAGGATACTGCCTTGATACTTTGAACGAGGGTAATATATGTCTTCACATTTTGGGCAGTATATCTTTACAGTGCTCGAACGAGGAATATCCGACTGACCCACTGGAAGGCATGGTTGTCCACAGCAGTACACTCTTGGGCACCTTCCAAAGTCATAGTTTTTATACTTCTCCAGCTGTATTTTTTCTAGTTAGCAATTTAAACATTGGGGGAAAATAAGTAATTAAGGATTTCCTTATAAGAAATTACCATTGCAGATATTCCTTTGCCAGTTAGAATGTATCTAACATGAATAAGACCATACAGCATCTCAGCAGCCGACTCAACTAGTTCATTCTGTTCTTCGGTGAACATGTCACCTGTGCAGAGCCATACACAGAAAATAGGTCAAATACATCACGGGAAACAGCAAAATGCACGTCAATGAAAAAAAGACGTGCACAAAGAAGAACAAAAATGGGAAGTATGAACTATGAAGTAGTACTGTTCTTCTAAAGAAGGAAGAGGCGGCTTGCTAATATGTCGAAAGGTATATGTCCTTAGGCCCCCTTTATACTGTTAAAAAAGGGTATACTAAAAAAAAGTTTCTCACTGTTTATAATGGAAGACTAATTAGCTAACGATTATTGAACTACGCAGGAAACAAGGAAAAAATAAGTAAGAAATTCACTAACGATTCAAAAATCAACCAATTAGTAAAGAAAATACATTCAAAGGAACTAGGCTTCCTAAAAATGGATTGTAATGTCTTCCAAAAATCGATCAATGGAAAACTCAGCCAAGACATCCGATCTACGAGGCAGCGATATACATTCTTACAACACAAAAGGAAGAACAAAAAAAGAAAACAAAATTCAGCGTGGGACAAGAAAATCTCACCGTGAGAAGATTCAACATCCAAAATGAGATCAAGTGCATAGTCGTAGTATGGAACTTGACTACTCAAGCCACAAAGATTGAAATCATCTTGTATGTACTCGTCGTCAACTTCACAAAAGAATTCATTTCCCCTCAAATTGCAAAACCACGAAATCCATGATGTATCATCTCCGTCTGAACCACTGACATCTGATTCTTCGCTGTCTGTTTCAGATTCCTCTGCCATTAATGAAAATTTGTTAGATACAAAAAAACTAAAGAAACAAAATGACGAAGAAGAAGAAGAAGAAGAAGACAAACTGAAGCAATAATATCACTGGAGGAAAAAATGCGGCCATAGAAGCCGAGTACCACTCTATCATTGGACAACACTCGATGGCAAAAATCAAAAGTAAGAACGTTCATATAGCAAAATGCAACTCCCGGTTCATTTCATTTCAATGTGCAGTTTTCAAAACACAGAACAGAGACATTAAACGACTCAGATCAAGACTAAAACAAAATTAGAGCTTAAAGCTTTCCAAAATTTCCAAGCGTATAGCCAAAATTCATCTGAAGAACACACGAATTAACAACTCAAAAACAATACAAAACTAACAAGAAAAGAAGAAAACAACACTAACCATCGGAACATTTATTCTTGGATAGAGACGAAGAACGATGATCAAGCTGCGGTTTACCAGCCGAAGTCGAGGGCACAGAGACCCTCTCCTTCTCCTTACTATGAAGACCTCTTGAAGTAGATGGAGAGGTTTTCTCCAGGTGCTTATCGAGAGCATCGTTGATACGCTTCCGATCCAAGGTACCACCTACGATCTCCGATTTCGAAGAACCACCAATCCCTCCTCCTCCTCCTCCTCCTCCTCCTCGATCCCTATACATGTCTTCAACGAATCAAAGCTCGTAAATTCAAATTCAACCAAAAGAAGAACTCGGCGGTGGAGGCGAATCCTGGATTGGGGAGCAAGAAGACAGGGAGATTAGGGGTTTGATTTAGGCGCGGAAATCAGAGGAAGTGATTTGGATTAGGGAATAGCGAAGGAAACGGAGAAGAAATGAAGGTGAAAAAATGGAGGAGAAAGGGGGAAGAAATGAAGAACAGTAGGGTTTGATGGAGAAGATCGAAAGAGAGGTCTAGGGTTTCAAGAAGTGGAAGAGAACAGTTTGCTTGCCCTTCACTTTCTCTCTCTTCTCCTCTCTTTCTGAGAGAAAAAATGAATGAAAAACAAATAGTATGGTAAAATGGTTGCTTCATTAAAAAAACACCAGAATTTCAGACCAAAAATTATTGTATTATTCATTATTATTTACTATTATTATTATTATTATTATTTAGTTTTTAGTTTTAAATGAGCGAGGAATAAAGTTTTAAATGAAATATCTTTTCTTTAAATAAAAAATAGGTTAGGTCGGTGGTGTTCTTTTTAATTATATTTTTTTAAAAAATTATTATTATTATTTATATTTTAAATATTTTTATACCCATTTAAAATTTTAATTTTATATCTAACAATTTTGTTAAGGATGAATTTGAAAAAAATAAGTCACACGAAGGCTTGAGAGTGAAGCAGTCTCGAGCTCGAGTGGACCCCCCAAGGCCAACTAGGGCAATCAATATCTTTTAGTCAACCTACGTAATCCACGGTCTGATTAGATTGGTAAGATTAAACCAAGGGCTTGAAGCCTAAATGACCACGTAAGAGATCAAGCCTGAGGCGACCTGTTTTTCCATTGGGCACATTTTAATTATCCATGGTCTGGTTAGATTGATAAGATCAAACCAAGGGCTTGAAGCCCAAATGGCCACCCATCGAAGAGGTTGAGCCTGAGGCGATCTGTTTTTCCATTGGGCACGTTCTAAATGCCATTGGACACATTCTAATTATCCACTGTTTGGTTAGATCGGTAAGATCAAACAAGTGCTTGAAGCCCAAAGAGGTCGAGCTTGAGGCGGCCTGTTTTTTCATTGGTCACATTCTAATTATCCACAGTCTGGTTTGTAAGATCAAACCAAGGGCTTGAAGCCCAAATGGCCACCTATCAAAGAGGTCGAGCCTAAGTCGACCTGTTTTTCTATTGGGCATGTTCTAAATGCACTTCCAATCCAAGATGATCTTAGGGAACTTGGTTTGACCTATTTTGGCCAACCCTAGCTTGCTAGGTTAGATTGTTTCGTATTTGAAGCAGAGTTTATGTGGCAAACAATAATACTGCGCGTTAATATTCGTCTTAAAACTCTTTCATTATTGTTCATCGAAAATTAGTTATAATTATTTATGGGAAATGTTAGAGAAAGTTACCTAAAATAAAATAAAAATTAAAACAAAACATTTGGTAAGTTTATTATATCTATTTATTAGTAAAGTCATTCACTCTCCATATAATTATTGCGCCCGCTTGCCAAATTCGGAGCTCATTCGAAATTTAAAGAGCCAAAATCAGAGCTCGAACCAGGTCCAACAATGGCGGCGACGATGCTACTCTCTCTGGTGGCGCTTCTTTTCTTCTTCATTTTTCTTCACCTTCTCGAATCGTTCTTATGGAAGCCGGAGAGACTAAGAGCGAAGCTCCGTAGACAAGGAATCGGCGGTCCTTCGCCGTCTTTCCTCATCGGAAACGTCTCTGAAATCAAGAAAATCGGAGCCCTAACTTCGGCGGCGAAGAACACGGAAGCTCATTCGATTGCGCATGGTTGGGCTTCGAATCCGTTCCCGCATTTGGAGCAGTGACGGAATCGATACGGTAATCGATTTTGAATTTCGAAGGTTTTTGTTTGATTTGTTTGTTGACTGATTCTGTTTAGGATTTTAGGGCTGAATTTCGTGTTTTCGAGTGGGACGATTCAGACGCTGTGCGTAACGGAAATAGAGATGGTGAAGGAAATCAGTACGTCGACGTCGTTGAGTTTGGGGAAGCCTGATCACTTGTGGAAGGATCGTGGGCCGTTATTGGGCTTGGGTATTTTGTCAGCAAGTGGCCCAACTTGGGTCTTTCAAAGGAAGATCATTGCTCCTCAACTCTACCATGATAAAGTCTAAGGTATAATGGGAATTCTTATAAATCTTCCATTCGACAAAAATTGCTTGGCTGGTTAATTTGCGATCCACTCCTTAGGGGCCTAGTGTTCTCGCTGGCTAGCCACGCCCCTCTTGGAGGGGCATGTATGTTCGTTCCCCTCTCTAACCGATGTAGGTTCTCAAAATCCACCCTTAGAGGCTTGGTGTCAAGTCTGATGGTGAAATGCACGAACTCCATGCTAAGATTATGGGAAGCAAAGGTTGAAAATGATGGAGGACAATCGGAAATCAACGTCGATGAATATTTTAGAGCTTGTCGTTTGATGTTATCTCGAAGGCCTATTTCGGAAGCAATTATTCCAAAGGGAAAGAGATATTCCAAAGAATTAGAGCTCTTCAAGTTATTATGTCCAAAGAAAACATTGGTATCCCAGGTTTGAGATACAAGTTCTTAATATGCATCACAGCTTCTATGGATGTTTGTCAAATTGAAGCTCAACTAGCTAAGACATATATACTCGATCGAAAGATCAGATGTTTAACTAACTTTTCATCTTACAGGTACGTCCCCACCAAAAACAATAGAGACGTAAGTAAGTAAAGGAAATCGAGTCATTAGTTTTAAAAGTGGTAAATGAACGAATCGAGAGTTGTTCGCACGAGCAAGTCTTGTTGCAGAAGATTCTCGAGGGTGCGAAAAGTCTCAACGAAGATGACAACTCGTTGAATATAACTCGGGACAAGTTCATTGTCGATAACTGCAAAAATATATACTTTGCTGGTCAAGAGACAACGACAATAACAACATCATGGTGCTTGATGTTACTAGCAACACATCCAAATTGGCAAGCTCGTGTTCGTTCGGAGGTGCTTCAATGTTGTCAAGATCGGCCAATCGATGCAGATACCGTTAAGAACATGAAGACGGTATTCCTCCTATGATGGCCTACTAACGTCAAAACTCTAAATTACAATTCTAATTTATGGTTGTTTGTAGCTGACAATGGTGATACATGAGACACTGAGGCTCTTTCCAGCGGGACCTCTTGTCACAAGACAAGCAACATTACGGTTCCGAAAGGCATAAACATTCAAATCCCGATCTCAATCCTGCATCAAGACGCTCTTCTCTGGGGACCTGATGCGCACTTATTCAATCCAAATAGGTTCAACAATGGCATCCTTAACGCTTGCAAGAATCCTTATGCTTACCTGCCATTCGGGATCGGCCCGCATGTGTGTGCCGGGCAACATTTTGCAATGGTCGAAGTGAAAGTGATAGTGAGCCTTGTTCTATCAAGGTTTGAGTTTACTCTTTCGCCTTCTTACAAGCATTCCCCTGCCTACACATTGGTTATGGAGCCTGAAAATGGAGTCCTTCTCAATGTAAGGAAGCTATGAATTTTCTCTTCATTACTTTTGGAATATGTGACCAAATAAAAAGTCAAATATGTAAGCTTAATTTATTGTTGACTTCTCTAAATGAATAAAATCAATCATTATTTTATATCATATCGGGATGAAAGATCCTCAATTTCAATGTCTTTATCGGCCTGAGTTGAGTTAGATTTTTTTTTTCTAAGTTGGTTTGTGTTGAGATTTAGAAAATCGAAAACTTGGTTTGGTTGGTTCGTGAGTTGACATTTTTTGGTCGGGTTAACCTTAAAAATAGGGTTACAATCTAACTTAACCTACTTTTAAAAATATTAAGAATATTTAACATTTATAATAATTAGCGATAATTGGATAAATAAAACTTTTTAAATAATTAAAAAAAGACCACGGACAACCTAACCCAACTCCGAAATAGAGTATTATGTTAGGTTGGTTTAACCAACACGAAATTTTTGATTGGTCTAGACAAATTTTGGGAGCCAGGCCACAAATTTTATTAAACTTATATCTAATAAAATTGTTAGAGATGAATTTGAAAAAGGAAGCTATAGAGAGAGGCTTGAGAGTGAAGCAGTCTCGAGTTTAAATGCACCCAAGACCAATTAGGACAACCCACTTAATCTACGGTCTAATTAGGTTGTGGGAAGACCAAACTAAGGGCTTGAAGCCCAAACGGTCACCTATCGAAAGGTCAAGCCTTAAGCGACATGTTTTTCCATTGGGTATGTTCTAAATCCGCTTCCCATCGAAGATAATCTTAGAGGACCTAGTTTAACCTATTTTGATCAACCCTAGTTTGCTGCAATTTATTGTTCCGTATTTGACTTAAGTATCAAAGTTTAGGTGACAAACAACAATAGTGAGCGTTAATGATTCGTCTAAAAACTTTCGTCATCCACAATTAGTTTTAATTATTTATGGGAAAGGTCAGATGAGATATTCCATAAACCTATAAAAGTTACATAAAGAAGTAAAATCATCCAATTTTAATTTTTAAAAAATATATTGATAATAGAAACAATTAATATACTGTTTTAAAATTACATTTTTAACTTTTTACAAATTATCCCTCTAAGTAATTTATTTGGACTAATAAGCCCACAGGCCCACAATTCATGATGTTTGGACTACTAAGCCCACAGGCCCAAAATTCATGAAGTTGGAGTCCAAAACAATAAACTTTACAGTTTCTTATAAATATTATTATTTATATATCAAACTAAATTAATCGACAGTAATAAAATTTGTTTTTTTTTAAGAAATTTGGTACTACATTAAATTATATATATATATATATATATATAGTAATCAAATTTGTTTTTTCTTTAAGAAATTACTTTGGTATTACATTAAATTATATATATATATATATATATTTTGTGTTTACATTGTATAATAAAAATTAAATGTTTATTATATTTATACAATAGCAATCTTAAATTAAGTAGAAAACTTTAGTCAATTAAAATTTATAAACGCTAAAATATCATTTAATTTTACATTTTATTTAAAAATACTCTTAAACTTTGTATTTTGTCAGTAATTTTTTTAAATTTTATTTTAAGTAAAGAGCACTAACACTTTTTATTTTTATTTTTTTTATTTTATGGTTATTTTTTAAATAAAATATTTATAAAAAATTTGTAAATATATTTTGTATGAATTTATTCAATTTTATTAAAAGAATTAACATTCTTATCCATTCAATCTCTATATAATTACTACGACGACGTATTCTTGACAAAAAAGACAAAACACAATTAAAACAAAGAGCCAAAATTCTGTTTTAACAATTTCGAAGTGTAACCCATGC